TTTTTTTTTTTAGAGATAGGGTCTCACTCTGTTGCCCAGGCTGGAGTGCAGTGGCATTATCACAGCTCACTGTAGCCCCCAACTCCTGGGCTCAAGCAATCCTCCTGCCTCAGCCTCCAGAGTAGCTGGGACTCCAGGACTGGGCTAAGCCTTCTCCATGTACTCACTTGTAGCTGTTTTCTCCAACAGTGAGAGGCTTGATTCTTGTTATCTACAATATCTCTACTTATTTGCTCAATCCTAGAATGCACATAAAGTGTTTTGGAATCGAAATACATATTTTTATTATTATTATTATTTCTTTAGTTTACACAGAACTGTGGTTCAGAAGTAATTTCTTTTTTTAAACTGGACTGCATCCGTACACTGGGAGGGGAGTTGAGCTAGTTGGCCTTGGGTCTCTTCCAACTAGATTCTAAATCATGGAACAGGGCTGGGTGTGGTGGCTCATGCCTATAATCCCAGCACTCTGGGAGGGTGAGGTGGGAGAATTGACCAGGAGTTCAAGACCCCCCCCTACTAAAAATAGAAAAATTAGCTGGGTGTGGTGGTGGCGGCTATTGTTCCTTTTGCAGCTCTTTCTCGAAGTCATCCAATTAAAACAAAAACTCAGAGGTGCCATTTGGAAAGCATTAGCCCAAGCTCTTTTCTCTCTGCCTTTTATCTTCCAGCCTTTGTCAAGTGTCACTTAACCCATCCAGGGTCTTAGCCCCAGCCCCCATTGTAAGATGATTCTCTAACTCACCTGGGGATCCTCCCTGGGTGCCTGGCCAGCACACTGGGGCGGGGCTCCCTGCGCATGCGCAGGCTGACTCTGTTCCCCCTCCTTCTCCCTGACTCAGCCCCTGTACGAAGGTTGGTTCCTGGCCCTGTTCAACCTCCTGTACACCTCCCTCCCGGTCCTCTACATCGGGCTGTTTGAACAGGTGAGCAGGTGGAGGCCCAGCCTCCCTCCGGGCTGGCCCTCCCCTCTGTGCTCAGCCTTCCCGCCCTGGGGGCTGGGGACAGGGCTTGGTGGGTACCGCACACACCTCTCCCCACCCACTGCCATGCACCTGCTCCCACCAAAGCTCAGTCCCATCCTGGGGTGTGTAGAAGGCGGCCTTTCGCCAGCCCTTCTCTTTGGGACGTGCCCCTGCCAGCCCCCAAGCCCCAGTGCCTCTGTCCGCCCATCTGTGCAATGGAGAGAGGGCATCAGAAAAGACAGTCCTGGGCTGGGCGAGGTGGCTCACGCCTGTAATCTCAGTGCTTTGGGAGGCTGAGGCGGGAGCATCACTTGAGCCCAGGAGTTGGAGGCTGCAGTGAGCTGCGATGACACCACTGTACTCCAGCCTGGGCGACAGAGTGAGACCCTGTCTCTACTTCCCCTCACCAAGAAAAGAAGAGATGTCCTGCTATGTTTGTCCCCCCTCCCAGCCCTGAGAGCCCCAGCTAAGTGATCCGGAGTGTGAAGGGGAGGGAGTCCTGTAGAATGTTCCAGAAGACAGAACTGTTCCGCCCCTACACAGCCCAGTCCAGAAGCTCATGGCCACACGTAGCCAGTAAGGAGACCTGCTGCTGGCATGACAGAGGAACTGGATTTTTCATGTCATCTCATGTTTTCTAGAGCCCTAACCTGTGGTGGGAGAATAGCACACCGCCCCTGTCTCAGCCGTCCCCACGCGCACAGCCGAGCGGTGCCCACCCCTCTCCCGAACTCTCGGCGGTTTGTTTTATTTTCATCCACATGAACTCAGACCTCTGGGGGGCCCCCCGGTCCCCACCCCCAGGACGTGAGCGCCCAGCAGAGTCTGCAGATGCCTGAGCTGTATGTGGCGGGGCAGAAGGACAAGCTCTTCAACTACTGGGTCTTCCTCCAAGCCATCGCCCACGGCACGGCCACCTCCCTGGTCAACTTCTTCATGACCCTGTGGATCAGCCGGGACACCGCGGGCCCCTGCAGCTTCAGTGACTACCAGTCCTTTGCGGTGGTTGTGGCCCTGTCGGGGCTGCTGTGCATCACCATGGAGGTGAGCAGGGTGCCCACCCCAAGGGTGGGGTCCTGGGCCACTGGCCATCGAGGCCTCCTTCCCAAGGGCCCCCGACTTTGGGGGCCTCCCCAGGTACCCTTCCTGGACCCCAGGGGCTCGGTGTCCTGGTCCAGCTTCCTCCTGGCCCTGGGGTCCCTGGGCCCCCCGCTGAGTCCTTCCTCTCGGCCCAGGTCGTCCTGATCATCAAGTACTGGACCGTGCTGTGCGTGGTGGCCATCCTCCTCAGCCTCAGCTTCTACGGGGTCACAGCTTACGTCACCCAGAGCTACTGGCTCTACAGGATCTCCCCAAAGACCTTTCCATTTCTGTGTGAGTCCCCAAGCATGGGGGTGGGGATGAGGAGGTCCTGACACAGGTGACCCCGGCCATGCAGGCAGCAGGTTGATCACAGAAGTCAGTGGTCCAGCAAAGCATCTGCCAGGGGGTGGAGGGGCTCCTTTCTTGGAACCGGTGCCCTTTAGTCTGGGGGTATCTGCAGAGGGGCCGAGGGGACAGGAAGACTCTGCCGTGACCCCGCCCCATCCCTAGACGCCAACCGCAACGTGCTGTCCTGCCCCTCCACCGCGTTGGTCATCCTATTGAACGTGTCCCTGAACACCCTGCCCATCCTGGCCCTCCGGATGATCCACCAAGCCCTTGAGAAGCCATGCCCCAAGGTGAGGTGGGGCTGGGGCTAGGGTCCCCACACCCTGCATGTTCCCGGGACCCCATCACAGGGAAGCCCTTGCTGGAAACAGGAACTCTAAGGTGTCCTCGGCCCCTCCCAGCCCTCAGAGGTGCTGGGCTTGGGGAGAAGGGGGGCACAGAGCCCCACACACACCCAGTGCCCTCGGGGAGGGGCTGGATGCCCCAGGGAAAGCAGCAGGGAGCACCCAGCAGGCTGACATGAATGATCTAAGGCTTAGGGGTTGAGGTGACAGAAACAACTTGAAATGGTTTAGGCAGAAGGGGGAACTTAGAAACAACCGAAGTGTCCATCGATGATGGACGAATAGATAACACTACATGGTCCATCCATGCACTGGAATATCACTCAGCCATGAAAAAGGACGAGGCTCTGACACAGGCTACAGCGTGGATGGACCTTAAGGACATCGTGCTCCGTGAGAGGTGCCAGACACAAATTGACAAATGTTGTATAATTCCACTTTTAGGAGGTCCCTAGAGGTGTCAAAATCACAGAGACAGAAAGTAGAATGGTGGGTGCCAGGTGCTGGGGAGGGGGACACAGAGTTAGTGTTTCCTGGGGACAGAGCATCAGTTTGGGAGAATGAGAAAGTTCTAGAGACGGAGAGTGGTGATAGTTGCACAACAGTGTGAATGTGCTTAATGCCACTGAGCTGTAGCGTACACTGAAAAATGCTTAAGATGGTCAACTTTATGTTATGTATATTTTACTGCAATTAAAAAAAAGGAATTTGCCAGCTCCTGGAAACACAGAAGGACATGGAAAAAGAGGTTGCAGCTGGGATGGGCCCCAGAATTGACTGGAGCAGTGGACCAGGACATGCCACCCAGTTCTCCCCTGCTCAGCTCCTGCCACCTACCACACAGGCTGGACACATGGCTATCCCAGATTCACCTCTCCTGGATTTGCTACCAGAAGGCACCCAAGGCACCTGGTGGCTGGTCCAGAGTTAGGTCCCAGGGAAGGACTCTGGTTGGCTGGTGCAGAGTTAGGTCTCAGGGAAGGACTGATTAGCTGATCCAGAGTCAATTCCAGGGAGGACTCTAACTGGCTCCCCTTGCATAGGGAAGAACCTGGCCAATGAATGGTAGCCAAGGGCTCTGAATTGGCCCCCATTGGTGGGCAGGTGACCTGAAACCAATCAACAAAGTCTGGGAGCCTGGTGACCCTGCTTTCCCCCTTTGCTTTGCAGGAGGAGGCGGAGGAAGAGGCCCCAGCTGAGGAAATTTTCACCGTGGAGCCCATACCCCATTTACATCGGGGATCACGTGGCCGGTGTTCCAGCTATGCCTTCTCCCACCGTGAGGGCTACGCAGACCTCATCACTCAGGGCACAATTCTGCGGAGGCCACAAGGGATCAGCAGTCAGTTGGTATCTGATTCCCCAGTCCCATCTGAAGAAGAGCTGCTCTCGAGCCCAAATAGCTCAGGCTGGCATTTCAGGAAATTGTCATCCCTGGGGAGGCTGAGACACCACCAGGGGGAGGTGTCCTTTGAGGAGATGAATCCCTCTTCTGCAATGAGCTCATCCTTGTCTGTGGACTGGCAATCTGCTGTTGATTCAGACAACCAAGGTTCTCCCACAAAAAAGTTGCTCACTGGCATGAAAAGGGCATCTGGGTCTTTCCAGAAGTTGCGGATGGTACAGGAGAGGCCACTCTCACCCAAGCAGAGGCCACCTCTTCCTCAGGATCTGCTGTCAACCAAGGAGGGGTCCCTTTCTCTTCTGAAGGAGTCAGCACTGCCCAGAGAACACCAGCTGTCCCTTCTGGAGAGTCAGCCACAACCTTTGGCAACCGAGCCGTTGCCTTTGGGCCAGCCGTTTTGGGGCAGCCAGACTGAACCCTCAGAGGAGAAGCCATCACCTGGGAGTACTTCAGTACCTTTGGGGTAGAGCCAGCCATACATCTCACCAAAGGAGCCCCACGCCTCCAAGGAGGGGACAGTGGTGGAGGCTCTGCCAAGTACACAAGAGTCATCTTCGTAGGAGCAGCCTATGGAGGTAGAGGCCTGGCCCACGGAGAGGCAGCCGACACCCAGTGAGGACCAGTTTCCACCTGAGTTGGTGGAGGGGCCACCCCTGCCCCCAGAGGACCATTCATTGCCAGTAAATGTCAAGCAGCCAGCAGGAGGCCTTCCTCTGATGACAAGGACATCACATCCTTTTCTTTTTCTAATAAACCAGGGTGTGTCTGACCCTGGGGCTTGCTTAGGCTCACTCTGTTCCTACATTTCTTTTTGTGAAGCCACGTGGAGTAGTCTTTCCTGGTTTTTTAGGTGAGAACACTGGCCCCTAGTGGCCCATGGGGTATTTGCAGGGAAAGCTTTTTTCTTCTTTGCCCTGGGGTAGATCACGAGGGTGAGCTTCATTGCTCCCAAAAGGGAGAAAGGTATGAGCAGACTCTACTTAACAGTCTTGGTCCCTGCCACTGCCCACTGGCTGGTCCCTCCCCCAAAAGTTTATAAACTCCAATTCTGGCACCATCTAGCCTCTTCCTCCACCAGGTTGCCCTGGACTCTTCCCTTCAAATAAACCTCCTTTCACTTTAGACTCTGGAAAGCAATGGGCAATGACCAAGTCTTCAGAAGGAGGTCCTGACAAGGTCTGCATCTTGGGGCATGTTGACTCAAAGGCACCAAACTTTTCCAATTCTTAACTGTTCCTGGTGGAGGGTGGAACAGTGTGTGGGGGTAGGGGATCAGGAGGCCTGCAGCCAAGGCAGAGGGTGGGGTTCAGAACCGAGAGGGGCACGTGGGTGGGGGCAGAGTCCCTCCTCCCTCCCCTGCCAGCCTTGTGGTGGGCAGGCCCTGTTCCTGTCTGCCCCCTGCACCCATCATCCCCAGCTGGCCAACACACATGCCCGGGTGAGTGACTAGAAAATAATTTATTGAGAAAAACAAAACAACAAACCCAGCACAGGAATGGTTAACGATGACTTTTTTTTTTTTTTTTACTTTTAGGCCTGTTGTCTGAGGGTAAGGGTGGAGAGGGTGTTCCTTCCCTCAAGCACTGGAGGACAGGAGACTTTGGGTGATCCAAATAGCCTCTCCCCAGAAAGCAGCCATAATTTCCAGGCTTTATGGAAAACACCCAGGGCCACCTGGCCTCCCGGCCCCTGTCACACCTGGCTAAGATAATCCCACCAAAAACAGCCCTTGTGGAGGAGAGCATGTGATAGGACCACAAGGAGGTGCCCCAGAGCCTGAGGGCATGGGTTTGGTTAAGGCTTTTTGGGCAGAGGATGTGAGATGGCCAAGTTCCAGCTGGTGCGGGCCTGGGTGCAGGCGCCTGGGCACACCCCTGCCCTGCCATCATTTCAGGTCTCTTGAGCCCCCAGCCCCAGGCAGCCTGGGGCCTCCTGTCTCACAGGGTGTGAAGCACCCCCTTTGGCTACCCCAACCTGCTCCTCGGGACCCTCCTGCCTCTGTGCAGTCTGATCCCTGCAGCCTTTGGCCTCCTGGGAAGGACACACAAGGAACCCCAAGCCAGCCTGTCCACCTCCTGTTCTACCTCCGGGGACTGTCTAGGGGTGGCTTGGAGACCTGGCCTCCTGGCAAAAGCAGAGTCACAGGCAGAGACATTGTCCCAGAGGGCACTTTCCTGATGGGGGTGGTGGTGGCCCTCTGTCCTCTAGGGTCCCAAAGTGGGCTGGGAGGGAGAGTCTGTACAGGTGCGCACCCCCACCCTCCCAGGCTGGACAGAAAGGCGGACACGTGCCCAGCCCTGTGCCCAGGGGGCTGAGGGTGTCTGGGTAGGGGGTGGAGGGGCCTCAGGAGGGCCCCTGGGATCTCAGGAAGTCGGGGCACACCCCACCCCCCACCCCCAGACAGCAAGCCTCAGATGATCCGATTGTCTCCCTCCTCTGAACAAGACACTTGGGGATTCATGCTAAATCGAAGCAAACCAGGTGGCAGAGTGGGGGGTGTCCCAGGATGGCGATGACACCGAGGGTACCCAAGAACGGGGGCTGGGGGCCGTAAGTGGTCCCTGCCTAGCCAGCCATGGCAGGCAGGTGGGCAGCATCTGGGGGGCTGGGAGGTGGAGGACACCCCGGGGCCCCATCCTGCTGGCTGCCTGTCCCACCTTCCTGTCTACCTGGGGCCCTGCCCGCTGGTCACCAGCTCAGAAAGCGGGAAAGCAACAGACAGCAACGCAAAGCACCACGGAACAGCACCACCTTGGGCATGGGACACAAGGATGCGACACATGGAATCGCAGGGCCACCGCCCGCTGGTCCCACCCCCACTCCCCCAACCACCTGTTACATCAGCGTCAGGAGAGAGTACATTAGTCATGCACCAAATCAAATCCCAGCGCATCTTTTTTTTTTCATTTTTCTTCCTTAAATTACATTTGAACACAGAACACATAGAATAATAAATAAATATTCTTTAAGACATGACTCTGAAAACCGAGAAAACTGAGCAAGCCAGAAAACAGAAAAGCAACCCTCTCTCTCCCTCTCTCCCCACCACTTTCCTAAAGGACTCGTTTAAATAAGAAATCTGTAAAGGCCGCCAGTCCTCCCTCTCAATCTCTCGCCACCAAGCTCCCACCTGACTCCTGCCCAGGCCACCAGCGCTCAGCTCCCACCGCCCTGACGTTCAATATGTCTCTCCCACGGGACTCGTCAAACACATGACATGCCAGCGTCTGCAAAATTATAATTGAACGGTATAAAGCTTCAAGTCACGTATTCCAAAAACTAGCTAAGCACTTTTCTTTTAAATCACATAAACTATACATTAAATATTTTGAGGTATTTCAGAGAAAATTGTCAAAGGCTCAAAGGAGTTGTGCTGGAGGTATCGTTCCCCGTGTGGAAAATGCTCTTTGGTACGTGTCAACCGACTGGGTCTGGGGGAGGCGGGGTGGGGCAGGGGGCAGTTTGGGGTGACAGCCCGCTGGGGGGCTGGGGATAACAGGGCTGGTGTGTGTGTGTGTGTGTGATATGAAGGTGTTTGAATAGGATCCAGGAGTTCTGGGCTGTGACATTGGGGCTTGGTCCAACCACAATTCATCATAACTAGAATGTTCCATGTCCAAAAGGATCTGGAGCTTATGCTTTCCTAGCAGGGGACAAAACAGGAGGCCCCGCCCACCTGACCCTTGGGCCTTTGAGGCCAGGGACCAGCCAGGGACTCGCCCAGCAGTGGGCGCCTGGGAAACCCCATCCCCCACTGGCCACTGCCCTGTGGCCCAAGACCCCCGGCATGGATTTCCTAAGAAGGTCGTGGGGCTGGGACCACAGGGGGACCCCCCTGGACCTGATGCACCTCATTGCCTTTGAGGGTCCCTTCCTCCACGAAGTGCATATATAGACCATATTGGCATGGAGACAAATACATTAATATGGTATATAAAAGTTTTCTGCCACCTGAAAGTTGTTTTTTCTCCCCCGACTTCTGATATTGAAAGAAATTAAAATGTTTTCATGGGCCCGGGCCTGCTGGGCCCAGAGGATATGACCCGTGGGCAGGAGAACTCCCGATCCATGTTGGGAACTCGGGGGTGGGGGCGGAGCAGGACTGGGCCCTGGTTTTAGTGGGCGGTGGGAGGAAGGAGCCTCTTAGAATCAAGCGCCCAGGGACACCACAAAAGGAACGGGATCCAATATGTGTGCGTGTGTCTGTGTGTGCCTGCATGTGTGCGCCTACACGTGTGTGCACATGTGTGCCTACATGTGTGCATTGTGTGCCTGCATGTGTGTGCATGTGTGTGCCTGCAAGTGTGCATTGTGTGCCTGTGTGTGCCTGCCTGTGTGCCTGTATGTGTGTGCATGTGTGCACACGTTTGCCTGCATTGTGTGCATATGTGTGCCTGCATGTGTGTGCCTGCATGTGCGTGCATGTGTGTGCATGTGCATGGCTGCATGTGAATGCATGAGTGTGCCAGCGTGTGTCCCTGCATGTGTACATGTGTGTGGCTGCGTGTGTGCATGTGTGCACATGCATGCCCGCATGTGTGTGCATGTGTGTGTCAGCATGTCTGTGTCTGTGTGTGTGTTGGGGAGAGGGGTTCATTGCTGAGTGGGAATGGGGACCCTTTTTATTTTTAGGATTCTGCCCCAACACCCAAATGTTCTAGAAGCATCACTCAGATCCAGCTGCTTAAAAGGCGGGGAGAATAGTGAGTCGACAAGGACAAGAGAACACTCCATACATATCTTTGGTTCAAGAAGACACTCACCGACCTCACTATCCTCTCTCCCTCTCTCTCCCTCTTTCTTTCTCTCTCACTCTCTCTGGTGTGGGGGCAGGCCCAAGCCGGTCCCACCGCCACCAGGGAAGCAGCAACCAGCACTAGTCCTTGGGGGAAATCTTCGGTATCAGGCGTGATTTTTCCAATCACAGACGAACGTTTGAGTGAGGCAGCCTTTGCCTGGGGAAGGGGGAGGGCATTTCACTAGAAATGTCTTTTGCTCTCTCGGGGGAGTAGGCAGGTGGTCTCCACCCTTCGAGGAGCCGCCGGTCTGGTGGGGCCGCGGGGAGGGTGGGGTTTCCTCCCAGCCTGGGGTCTTGAACCCCGGGAGGCGGCGCGCGGGAGTCTTGGAGGTCACCCCAACGGGCAGGG